AAGGCGGAAGTGGTAGCCACATCGCGGCCACATCGCGGCCACTTCCCGGCCACTTTTATAAGCAGACGCCATTGAGCAGCCACTTTGCGGGCACTTTTAGTAGCGGACACCATTGATCATCCACATCGCGGCCACTTCGCGGCCACTTTTAAAAGCGGATGCCATTGAGCAGCCACATCGCAGCCACTTTGCGGCCACTTTTATTAGGGGATGCCATTGATCTGAGAAGTTCGGTAGATTGGTGTGTTGGGGGGATCAAAGTCAGAAGCCTCATTCTGAAAAAGGCTGAGACTGAGAATGAAGTGAGAGATTTAAAGGCATGAAAAAATACATGATACCTGTAAAAAAGACATCGTAAAGAAATGTTGAATTTGCATTATAGTTCTTAAACTTTAAATATTAAATGAAATAATAAATATTAACTATATACAAGTGTATTGAGTAATTGACAAATTAAAAAAAGTAAAAATAAAAAATAAAAATGAAAAAAGTAAAAATAAAAAATAAAAAGTAATAAAAATAGTCATAAATAAAATAAACATGAGGTGTTCTTTATTTGACACTAACAAACATAATTTAATACATAATTTAATTAAGTGTTAAACACTTTGTAAGCATTACATATGTCTTAATAATGTTAATGTCCATGGTTTATTAATGTTAATAAAAGTAGTAATTAATTTTCACCAAAGCATTACCAAATCAATTACAGCAAAAGAAGAAAGAAAGTAGGAAAGGAAATGCAAAAACTTGGACTCTTAATTTATGAGACAGGGACCGCAAGCATCTAGATGGTGAAATGTTCATTACACAATTAAATATTTAATCTTGTAATTTCTTCAATAAAACTGAACTGCTTTCCATATTATTTCCGTACACATTTTAAGTTTGTCCTTTATTATTATTTAAATACAAAATACCCATTGATTTGCAATAAGCATACAAAACAGAATATCAATGTTTAATTATCCTTGTCAAGTTTAACAAAATGTATTGTCTAGTTCAGCTTACCTTAAATAGAGTGTGAGTAGTGTTAAACAGAAACAGACATCAGCCTATCTGGGAGTTACAGCAGTATTAAGATTAGTAACCCATAAGGAGAAAATATATATATTTCAAATACATTTCTGAAATATATTTTTGCTATATATGAAAATGGACAAAAATACATTTCTTAAATATGTATTTAAAATGCATTTATTTGTATTTGTTATTTATTGTATTATATTTGTTGTTATTTATTGTATGTAATTTAAATAAAGGTTGAAGATGGAACTAAATATATATGAAATGAATGAACGGTACTGACTGCTGTGTTTTGCATTGTACTTTGCATTAAGACACTCACACAAAATGTATGCCAAATAAACAAGATATCAAATCGTCAAACTACATTTTCACATTGTATCAATATCCACAACACTTACTTTTGTCTAGTTAAAGGTTCATTTACCAACATTTACAATTGAGATACTGGAGCACAAATTCATTTCAAAAGATACAAATTCACCTAAAATGGCGGCGCTAATAAAGTGGCCGCTTCCTGCGGGCACAACAGCAGCCACTTCCGCCTGCGCACAACAGCAGCCACTTCCGCCTGCACGCAGAGATCCAACTCCTACTGTTCCACGTGCAGATCTGGTGACCACTGGGCTGTGATGAATTATCCTGGTGCGAGTGAGAGTGACAGAAAACAGAAACAGGGAAACAGCTGCAAGAAGATGAACTGCAAACAGTCATGATATGGCCGATGCTGGGTGGAAATGAAAAGGGGTGGAGAAAGAAGGTTCTAGAACTAGACCCACTCATTTCGCATCCGAGTAAAATACACTTTTGTTCGGCTGCCACTGAGGTGGGTGGTGCCTGTTTGTCCCCTATAAATGCCTCTGCAATAGCTTCATGCTCATTTGGTTAAGGGTTCCGAAACAAATACGCGCCTGTTTTTCGGAAGTAAATACGTAGATTTGTGAATAAACCGTTGGTCGAACTAATATTTATGTGGAACATGTTTTATCAGCGGATACCTGACACAGCGACTGTAAGGATGCCTGATGATGATGATGATGATGGTGGGTCGAGAACAGGAGAGAGTTTTTTTGATTCAACTCTACGTAGGTGGAATAATGTAGTTAAATGTCTAAAGACGCTTCGTCTGATATATAAGGTCTTTACAAATATCTACGATATTGTTGAGAATATAAACAACGCTGTACAACTGTTGAATGAAGTGGTAAGAGCAAAAGAAATAGTCAGACAGACGTGTCTGCGCTGGTACAAGTGGAAAAATGATATCGAGGGCACCGGATAAAAAACAAAAAACAAAAACATGGGACGCATGAAGGAAAACTCCTACAAATGTTTAATCGAGGACCACAGTGAAGACGGAGTGGTGACAACCCCTTCTCAACACCGGTTTCTCAACATAATTTATGTAATATGATATATATATATATATATATATATATATATATATATATATGTAATATATGATTGTAAAAAATAAACAAATCAGTAATCATCTTGAATTTGATGTGTTTTTTTCATGTAGTTAATGTGGACTTTTTGTCTCTTCATTAGTCTGAGAAAATCTCATTCTGATTCATCGTCGTCGTGCATTAAATCATTAAGACTTTTATAGGTCTATGAATGTTTTCACTATATCATGAATGAGGTGATACCGTTATGTGATGATATTTATGAATGCACTTTCATACAGGGGTAAAGTTCTGGTTGACTTGAGATTAACACCGAAAAACCAAAAGAGATGCGCTCAAAGTGAAGCTTTCATCTGAACAGGAACTTTGAGTTGTTGAGAAAACGGAACAGAAGGTAGATAGGAGTACATTGCGTTGCAGCACAGACTTAACAATTTGAAGCTCTCTGTCTCTCCTCCTCTCCGCCGAGCTCTCACTACTCGCGCTTAAGAAGGAAATGAATCAAAAAACAGTACCGTACAATACATGTCAGCTCTCAAACTACCGTTCATTACAAAGGGCACGTATGTATATGAAAAACCCATTTCTCTGTTTATAACAGGAGTGGGGAACAGTACAGCTCACTGACTTGCCTGCTCGAACACAACAATAAAACCTTCCAGTTTACTGATGATGTGAATAAGGTTTGTTTGTTTTTGTGTCTGCTCCTCTTCCTTGTCCCCAGCAGTTTTTATAACAATGTCATGGCCTGGACATACAGTTACTTTAGAGGTTCAGTAACTCTTTTAAGTCTCCTACAAGAAAACATTATTTAGCAAAGGCCTGACTGATTGGTTTCAGCCTAAGTATAAAGTATGAGACTGTGTCTGATTTCCAAGCACGTACTATTCCAAAGCTGAGGGGCTGCTGTAATTGTCATCATTCTAGTTACTGAGAAAGAGTCTGCATGTTGTGTAGGACAAGGACATTTAGAGCTTTATGTTTCAGTGGTGGTAGGTCAGTTTGCTTATGATCATCTCATATCTGTACTTATATGAAGACACTCTTTATGAACTGAAAAGAATAACAGAGTACAGGTGCAAACCTCAGCATATCAGATCAGAGTGTGGTGTAGCACAAAGAATCCAACCCGTTGAGATATCGAAGGCATACGCTCATGAATCCATAACAAACAGATGGATAGTATCATAGTATTTGGCAGAATTTATAGTCGTCCTGAATAGTAAGCCTTGAGACTGAATAATATGTTTGACTAAAAAGTAGAGAAGACTATAAAAGTAAAAGGATTATCACTTGAAAAGACTCAGTGAGCACAAACTTATCAGATTTTTTCTTCAGTACACATAACTGAGTAAATGTAACTAGTTATGACCCACCTTTGTTAAAAAATTGGGGGCTTTGAAAACCAGGGGCCATATTAGAGAAATATCCTCTCTAAAATTTGAGCTGTTTAGTCTGCATGACCATTTCAGTTAGGATCCAATTTAGGACGACAGCTATTACAGAACAACAGTTCCTAAGTTCATTATCTTGTCTTTACTTCCGATAAGACTGAAGAGTTGCAGAAGCACATGGAATTAATTTTGTAAGTTCTCAAAAAGTATCAAAAAGGAAAAAAGGCTTCAGATGCTGAGTTTATGTGGAAAAAAGGAAAAGATCTTTGCTTTTTTTGAGCATCAAGTGGCAAGTGGTCTCCGGAGACCCAAATGCACAGACAGTCTCTGAACATCACTTTTTATACCCTTTGTCTGGGGTGATAGATGATCACCCCACCCTTCTTATCAGTTTTGATTTTAAATTGGTCTTTAATCTGTCCAAATTCTCTACATTACATAATTCCCCTTAAGTCCAAATGTATACCACATTCCTTTTTTTAAAAACCAGTTCCACTCTGTTCGTCCCAGTCCATCCCACCTTGCAAGGTCATCTTTATATAATTTCATGTGAGTTCAAGATGTTCAGTAAAGCTAAAATCTTCCATGCACACAGCCTATGGCCTATTGCCTTTCCTATATTACCTCTTTGTAAGAAAAAATAATATTCTCTTTTAGCCAATGCCTAACCTATTTGAATATTGATTACAATGCACAATCTATTTGACTATTGATTAAGAGAGTATTTAGTCAAATTTTCAATCAGGTTAAAAAAATTTAATAAATAAATTAAACCCACTAGCAAAATGTTAATTATCAAAATGTCCAACATATATTGCAAATATCAATAATGAGTTAAAAAATTAGTTACTTCAAACTTTCTCCCGTCTTTGTTTAGTTTTCCTATTTTCTGATTTTTCCTGGTACATGTTTTGCTTCTGGCATTGTTCTTTTGCTTGTGAAATCTTTCTTTTGCTTCTGGCTTTTGGCACATATTCACAGGGGCGGGTCTTGGGATAGCACGTTGACCTGCAGCTCTATTGGATCGACAGATTTGTAATGACATGTTTCTCCAAAACTTCCAGCCCTGATGGAACACTTATGATTCAGATAATCGTTCCATCTAATTAGATGCATCAGGTGTGTTGGACTTGAGCTGGAGCTGAATTCTGCAGATTTGGTGACCACTGGGCTGTGATGAATTATCCTGGTGCGAGTGAGAGTGACAGAAAACAGAAACAGGGAAACAGCTGCAAGAAGATGAACTGCAAACAGTCATGATATGGCCGATGCTGGGTGGAAATGAAAAGGGGTGGAGAAAGAAGGTTCTAGAACTAGACCCACTCATTTCGCATCCGAGTAAAATACACTTTTGTTCGGCTGCCACTGAGGTGGGTGGTGCCTGTTTGTCCCTTATAAATGCCTCTGCAATAGCTTCATGCTCATTTGGTTAAGGGTTCCGAAACAAATACGCGCCTATTTTTCGGAAGTAAATACGTAGATTTGTGAATAAACCGTTGGTCGAACTAATATTTATGTGGAACATGTTTTATCAGCGGATACCTGACACAGCGACTGTAAGGATGCCTGATGATGATGATGATGGTGGGTCGAGAACAGGAGAGAGTTTTTTTGATTCAACTCTACGTAGGTGGAATAATGTAGTTAAATGTCTAAAGATGCTTCGTCTGATATATAAGGTCTTTACAAATATCTACGATATTGTTGAGAATATAAACAACGCTGTACAACTGTTGAATGAAGTGGTAAGAGCGAAAGAAATAGTCAGACAGACGTGTCTGCGCTGGTACAAGTGGAAAAATGATATCGAGGGCACCGGATAAAAAACAAAAAACAAAAACATGGGACGCATGAAGGAAAACTCCTACAAATGTTTAATCGAGGACCACAGTGAAGACGGAGTGGTGACAACCCCTTCTCAACACCGGTTTCTCAACATAATTTGTGTAATATATATATATATATGTAATATATGATTGTAAAAAATAAACAAATCAGTAATCATCTTGAATTTGATGTGTTTTTTTCATGTAGTTAATGTGGACTTTTTGTCTCTTCATTAGTCTGAGAAAATCTCATTCTGATTCATCGTCGTCGTGCATTAAATCATTAAGACTTTTATAGGTCTATGAATGTTTTCACTATATCATGAATGAGGTGATACCGTTATGTGATGATATTTATGAATGCACTTTCATACAGGGGTAAGGTTCTGGTTGACTTGAGATTAACACCGAAAAACCAAAAGAGATGCGCTCAAAGTGAAGCTTTCATCTGAACAGGAACTTTGAGTTGTTGAGAAAACGAAACAGAAGGTAGATAGGAGTACATTGCGTTGCAGCACAGACTTAACAATTTGAAGCTCTCTGTCTCTCCTCCTCTCCGCCGAGCTCTCACTACTCGCGCTTAAGAAGGAAATGAATCAAAAAACAGTACCGTACAATACATGTCAGCTCTCAAACTACCGTTTATTACAAAAGGCACGTATGTATATGAAAAACCCATTTCTCTGTTTATAACAGGAGTGGGGAACAGTACAGCTCACTGACTTCCCTGCTCGAACACAACAATAAAACCTTCCAGTTTACTGATGATGTGAATAAGGTTTGTTTGTTTTTGTGTCTGCTCCTCTTCCTTGTCCCCAGCAGTTTTTATAACAATGTCATGGCCTGGACATACAGTTACTTTAGAGGTTCAGTAACTCTTTTAAGTCTCCTACAAGAAAACATTATTTAGCAAAGGCCTGACTGATTGGTTTCAGCCTAAGTATAAAGTATGAGACTGTGTCTGATTTCCAAGCACGTACTATTCCAAAGCTGAGGGGCTGCTGTAATTGTCATCATTCTAGTTACTGAGAAAGAGTCTGCACGTTGTGTAGGACAAGGACATTTAGAGCTTTATGTTTCAGTGGTGGTAGGTCAGTATGCTTATGATCATCTCATATCTGTACTTATATGAAGACACTCTTTATGAACTGAAAAGAATAACAGAGTACAGGTGCAAACCTCAGCATATCAGATCAGAGTGTGGTGTAGCACAAAGAATCCAACCCGTTGAGATATCGAAGGCATACGCTCATGAATCCATAACAAACAGATGGATAGTGTCATAGTATTTGGCAGAATTTATAGTCGTCCTGAATAGTAAGCCTTGAGACTGAATAATATGTTTGACTAAAAAGTAGAGAAGACTATAAAAGTAAAAGGATTATCACTTGAAAAGACTCAGTGAGCACAAACTTATCAGATTTTTTCTTCAGTACACATAACTGAGTAAATGTAACTAGTTATGACCCACCTTTGTTAAAAATTGGGGGCTTTGAAAACCAGGGGCCATATTAGAGAAATATCCTCTCTAAAATTTGAGCTGTTTAGTCTGCATGACCATTTCAGTTAGGATCCAATTTAGGACAACAGCTATTACAGAACAACAGTTCCTAAGTTCATTATCTTGTCTTTACTTCCGATAAGACTGAAGAGTTGCAGAAGCACATGGAATTAATTTTGTAAGTTCTCAAAAAGTATCAAAAAGGAAAAAAGGCTTCAGATGCTGAGTTTATGTGGGAAAAAGGAAAAAGATCTTTGCTTTTTTTGAGCATCAAGTGGCAAGTGGTCTCCGGAGACCCAAATGCACAGACAGTCTCTGAACATCACTTTTTATACCCTTTGTCTGGGGTGATAGATGATCACCCCACCCTTCTTATCAGTTTTGATTTTAAATTGGTCTTTAATCTGTCCAAATTCTCTACATTACATAATTCCCCTTAAGTCCAAATGTATACCACATTCCTTTTTTTAAAAACCAGTTCCACTCTGTTCGTCCCAGTCCATCCCACCTTGCAAGGTCAACTTTATATAATTTCATGTGAGTTCAAGATGTTCAGTAAAGCTAAAATCTTCCATGCACACAGCCTATGGCCTATTGCCTTTCCTATATTACCTCTTTGTAAGAAAAAATAATATTCTCTTTTAGCCAATGCCTAACCTATTTGAATATTGATTACAATGCACAATCTATTTGACTATTGATTAAGAGAGTATTTAGTCAAATTTTCAATCAGGTTAAAAAAATTTAATAAATAAATTAAACCCACTAGCAAAATGTTAATTATCAAAATGTCCAACATATATTGCAAATATCAATAATGAGTTAAAAAAATGAGTTACTTCAAACTTTCTCCCGTCTTTGTTTAGTTTTCCTATTTTCTGATTTTTCCTGGTACATGTTTTGCTTCTGGCATTGTTCTTTTGCTTGTGAAATCTTTCTTTTGCTTCTGGCTTTCGGCACATATTCACAGGGGCGGGTCTTGGGATAGCACGTTGACCTGCAGCTCTATTGGATCGACAGATTTGTAATGACATGTTTCTCCAAAACTTCCAGCCCTGATGGAACACTTATGATTCAGATGATCGTTCCATCTAATTAGATGCATCAGGTGTGTTGGACTTGAGCTGGAGCTGAATTCTGCAGATCTGGTGACCACTGGGCTGTGATGAATTATCCTGGTGCGAGTGAGAGTGACAGAAAACAGAAACAGGGAAACAGCTGCAAGAAGATGAACTGCAAACAGTCATGATATGGCCGATGCTGGGTGGAAATGAAAAGGGGTGGAGAAAGAAGGTTCTAGAACTAGACCCACTCATTTCGCATCCGAGTAAAATACACTTTTGTTCGGCTGCCACTGAGGTGGGTGGTGCCTGTTTGTCCCCTATAAATGCCTCTGCAATAGCTTCATGCTCATTTGGTTAAAGGTTCCGAAACAAATACGCGCCTGTTTTTCGGAAGTAAATACGTAGATTTGTGAATAAACCGTTGGTCGAACTAATATTTATGTGGAACATGTTTTATCAGCGGACACCTGACACAGCGACTGTAAGGATGCCTGATGATGATGATGATGGTGGGTCGAGAACAGGAGAGAGTTTTTTTGATTCAACTCTACGTAGGTGGAATAATGTAGTTAAATGTCTAAAGATGCTTCGTCTGATATATAAGGTCTTTACAAATATCTACGATATTGTTGAGAATATAAACAACGCTGTACAACTGTTGAATGAAGTGGTAAGAGCGAAAGAAATAGTCAGACAGACGTGTCTGCGCTGGTACAAGTGGAAAAATGATATCGAGGGCACCGGATAAAAAACAAAAAACAAAAACATGGGACGCATGAAGGAAAACTCCTACAAATGTTTAATCGAGGACCACAGTGAAGACGGAGTGGTGACAACCCCTTCTCAACACCGGTTTCTCAACATAATTTGTGTAATATATATATATATATGTAATATATGATTGTAAAAAATAAACAAATCAGTAATCATCTTGAATTTGATGTGTTTTTTTCATGTAGTTAATGTGGACTTTTTGTCTCTTCATTAGTCTGAGAAAATCTCATTCTGATTCATCGTCGTCGTGCATTAAATCATTAAGACTTTTATAGGTCTATGAATGTTTTCACTATATCATGAATGAGGTGATACCGTTATGTGATGATATTTATGAATGCACTTTCATACAGGGGTAAGGTTCTGGTTGACTTGAGATTAACACCGAAAAACCAAAAGAGATGCGCTCAAAGTGAAGCTTTCATCTGAACAGGAACTTTGAGTTGTTGAGAAAACGAAACAGAAGGTAGATAGGAGTACATTGCGTTGCAGCACAGACTTAACAATTTGAAGCTCTCTGTCTCTCCTCCTCTCCGCCGAGCTCTCACTACTCGCGCTTAAGAAGGAAATGAATCAAAAAACAGTACCGTACAATACATGTCAGCTCTCAAACTACCGTTTATTACAAAAGGCACGTATGTATATGAAAAACCCATTTCTCTGTTTATAACAGGAGTGGGGAACAGTACAGCTCACTGACTTCCCTGCTCGAACACAACAATAAAACCTTCCAGTTTACTGATGATGTGAATAAGGTTTGTTTGTTTTTGTGTCTGCTCCTCTTCCTTGTCCCCAGCAGTTTTTATAACAATGTCATGGCCTGGACATACAGTTACTTTAGAGGTTCAGTAACTCTTTTAAGTCTCCTACAAGAAAACATTATTTAGCAAAGGCCTGACTGATTGGTTTCAGCCTAAGTATAAAGTATGAGACTGTGTCTGATTTCCAAGCACGTACTATTCCAAAGCTGAGGGGCTGCTGTAATTGTCATCATTCTAGTTACTGAGAAAGAGTCTGCACGTTGTGTAGGACAAGGACATTTAGAGCTTTATGTTTCAGTGGTGGTAGGTCAGTATGCTTATGATCATCTCATATCTGTACTTATATGAAGACACTCTTTATGAACTGAAAAGAATAACAGAGTACAGGTGCAAACCTCAGCATATCAGATCAGAGTGTGGTGTAGCACAAAGAATCCAACCCGTTGAGATATCGAAGGCATACGCTCATGAATCCATAACAAACAGATGGATAGTGTCATAGTATTTGGCAGAATTTATAGTCGTCCTGAATAGTAAGCCTTGAGACTGAATAATATGTTTGACTAAAAAGTAGAGAAGACTATAAAAGTAAAAGGATTATCACTTGAAAAGACTCAGTGAGCACAAACTTATCAGATTTTTTCTTCAGTACACATAACTGAGTAAATGTAACTAGTTATGACCCACCTTTGTTAAAAATTGGGGGCTTTGAAAACCAGGGGCCATATTAGAGAAATATCCTCTCTAAAATTTGAGCTGTTTAGTCTGCATGACCATTTCAGTTAGGATCCAATTTAGGACAACAGCTATTACAGAACAACAGTTCCTAAGTTCATTATCTTGTCTTTACTTCCGATAAGACTGAAGAGTTGCAGAAGCACATGGAATTAATTTTGTAAGTTCTCAAAAAGTATCAAAAAGGAAAAAAGGCTTCAGATGCTGAGTTTATGTGGGAAAAAGGAAAAAGATCTTTGCTTTTTTTGAGCATCAAGTGGCAAGTGGTCTCCGGAGACCCAAATGCACAGACAGTCTCTGAACATCACTTTTTATACCCTTTGTCTGGGGTGATAGATGATCACCCC